GCGGACGGTTGACCCTGCAGGGAACCCAAATTTTTGGTGTGTCATCAATAGTCAGATGCCATTAGGGATCACTTGCAGGTTGTTCCTATAGCACCACTTTATGTTAAGGGTTATGAAAAGATCCACGTATCCTGGAATAATGACCCCGGACCAAATTTGAATCCCCCTCCTTTGGGCAAGATTCGCGTGGGATACGGTAGAGAATGGCTGATGCAGCACGACGCGACGCGTTGTCGGGGCGAAATGCGATATCGATTTTCGTCCACAAGTGGGATGGGTCGAGTCATTCACCCACTGGGGTTATGGGTGTGTGGTTATTCGTCTCGTTCGCTTTTGATTCTACGTGTAACTAGGAGCTATCTAGGAACGTCGCTAGGCACATGGAAGCTCCCGTCATTGCTCAATGACTTCCCTTTTCCGCTCTTTTTTCCCTTCCTCCAGTTTCAAAAATATTGGCAATTCAAGAAGCGTCGTCGAAGTGGTCACAATAACCTTTTGATGGCCTGATCTTCAGTCCAGGAAGCACAAGTAGCCCGCTACTTGCTAGCACTTCAGTGAAATTGTTGCCATTTTAGGTAGGAGGGCTAGGATGGCGGCTCTTTGTTGCATAATTTCTGACCATTCTGGAAACGATGCGGCTCTCTAAAGTCGTCCAGGTAAGTTAAAGACTGAATATTTCAATTTGATAACCTTTTGTACAGCACAGGACCTTCTTTAGCACTACATATGTCTTTATGCTTAACAAAAGCCATATTCAAATGTTTCTTATTTTGTTCCTAGACTCGGCGCTAAAGTTTCCGATTTCCAGACTCATTACGAAACCGGCGCCATGATGACACACCTTGTGGTTGGCGTTATTCTTCTCGTAACTACCCTCTTTGTTTTTGTAAAGGTTGTCCAAATGGGCACTGAGTGAGTTGGGGGGGAGGGACAACGCGGCGGCGGGCGTGGTCCCCCTCCCAAGTCAGACCCAAGCTTAGTCCCATCACGCTTAAAAAATGACGCCGTCGCCCGATAAATTGAACAGCCGAGTCATCTCAATACAGCAGACTACACTGCGCTAACGGCCAGCGCCTGTCGCTTTTGAAGCGTCCTTGTTTTTTAAAGTTCGCTTTTTTATAACATGCCTTGGTCGCAGCTAAAAACAGATCGCTACCCGCGATGCGAAACAAAAGTCCCCTCAACCTTCAATTGACGTGCTGCGACAAATCTCAAATCCTGCGCTATCCGGCTATGTACGCTTGACTCGTGGTCGAAGCTGGGAGAATGCCCCTCCCCTTTTTGCAAAAAGGCCCGTCTCCTGTCGTGGGCGTGCTGCGTACGAATCTTGGTTTTAACATAGTTCTACATCTTCTTTTGCATGTCCTAATCGCAGCAAAGGGAATGTTCTCGGAGTACGCGGCGTTGCGCTCGAAGTGCGTGATCCGCGCGAACAGCGAATCCTGTGCAAATTTCTGAAGGCTGCCTAAAAATGGGCGATGCAACCCAACCACTACAAACCGTGAATGGAATAGCCATTACAATGCAGTCGACTGAACAAAGAACTACTAAACGGCAGGGATTTCTTGTAATTTAAGTGTCTTCACCACGTCGATTCCTGAGCTTGAATTACAGTTTATCCCAAAGTACAAGCAGAACTCGAAGCACTATCGGCAGATGGGGAAGCACCTTCTTCGGACGTTAGAGCAAACCAGCCTTTTGGCGTTTCGGCTGGGACCGTATGCTGAATGTTGGGGAGGGGATGGGGTCCCCAACGGTCGACGGTTTACTTCAACTCGGTTGGTACGATAGGAGAGTACTGACGCAAGTGGTGCAGCTGGTCCAGTAGCTTCGCCAGAAGGACCGGTCTGCTCACCCTTGGACTAAGCCTAGGAGAGGGGACGGACCCGTCCTCTCTTTAAGGCTTAGTTCTGAGGTAAGCACCAAATTGTGGCGGTTCTAAGGACCGAGTTGAAGTGGTCCGTCCACCGTCGGGGACTCCATCCCCTCCCCAACATTCAGCATACGGTCCCAGCCGAAGCGCCAAAAGGGCTGGTTTGCTTACGTCAACTTCTTCGTTATACATCGGAGTTTCGCACCCCACCTCCACTCCTATGAGGCTGGTCTAACTAAATGCAAAAAATGCAACCAACCTTATTGACAGCCTGAGCAAAACTGCTAGTAGATGGTAGATTTGCGGCTATTGTACCCATTTGAGGACGAAACGGTGAGCAATGGGCTGCAGTATGACGAGCGCGTTTCGCCTCATGAGGGAAACTCTCATCGGCCAAATACGAGTCATACTCATGCGGACGCTTCAATAAGTACCAAAGCCATTTCTACTCTGAAATTCATGGAACATCAGTAAAATAAATTTAATGGGAGCAATATGAGCACAACGGAGAACGAGTTGCTGACGAGAAAACGGAGCGAGAACGAGCAATGAGGCTGTGAGTACGGGTTAAATGATGAAAATGAGTCACACTCTGTGATAATAGGTCATTTTCAATATCCTTTGCTAAGATTGATATTCACATTGTTTCTAGAGAAAGGTATAGCCCGTTTACGTGCAAAAGATCGATCTCGAGTATGCTCAGTCAGGGAGAATAACTCAAATGCGCAACGATAGAACTTTCTGTACAGGTTTCTTGTTGACACATCAAGGTGGTAAAATGGGAACAAAGCAGTTTTGACCAAGTTCGAACATCCACTGCAGAGCGTTCAACAGGGAGCATTTATGCATTATCTGGTAAAAGGTCATATTGAAAAGGTTAGCGTTTTTTGGTGGCTTTGAACTGTTGTGAATTTCTCGTCCTTGGTCGATTATATGCTGCTTTGGGGACTCACACCATGCCCCCGATCAACGCACTTCTGCGAAATTGGGGAGCGCACAGCTATGATTTCATATATGACAGGGCGACTTCAACATCACAATCGACTCCACTGAACATTGGAGACGATAGTCGTGTGGGAGACCATTCTTGAGTAAAGGAATCTTTCGAACTACTTGAATTTTCTTCTATTTTTGCCATGGGAGCGACGGTAGAGCACAACCAATTACCAGAGCTGAAGCCTGTTCTTAGTCTAAATTGTAGGAGAAGTATAGACCCTAAGACTGAGCCTTTGACCGAGGAAGTCTTTGGTGGTGACGCAGGGTGGGTTTCACTAGATTAGAAGGGAACTTTCCGTCATTTGCAAACGATCACCCATGATCAGCGTAAACCCTGGAGGTTCCGCATTAGAAACGAGTTCGTTGCGAACGCGAAATATTCGCTCCTTTCTAGCTGAATCCACCACACCAGCGCAACTTGTGCGAAAATTTGAATTGAGACACAGCAAGCGCACAAGCCGCAGTTTGGGCGAGCGGCCGATGTCAGACTGCGAATCGCGCGATCCGCAAGGTCTGACATCGGCCTAATTTGGTGCTAACTTAGTTGGGGGGGGGCACGCGGCGGCGCGGCAGTCTGCTCGCCTGGCATGTTCGGAAAATCCGTGGGCCAGGGGGAGTGTAGCCAGTCTAGGGGGTGGGGGGTGGGGCAGTCACTTGACATGCGTGAAAAGCTGGAATGTTCGAGTTTACACTGTCTCGCTCGAGAGAGCCCAGGTGAGCAGACTGCCGCGCCGCCGCGTGCCCCCCCCCCCCAACTAAGTTAGCACCCACGTTAATTTCGTCTGGCCTACTTTAATATGACTCGTAAAGACTGGGGTATTCTATGAACAATAAAAACAGCAACAACATCAGTCAAATTTAAAAGTCAGAATATTCTAGAAGCTTCCGGCTATATGCTACTATAAAACTTCGCAATTTGCCTATACTTTGGCAGGCATTTCAGCAGCATCAGGGCGGCGCTTAGTGAGTTGGGGGGGGGAGAGGGGGCGGCATCACG